GTTACCCAGCCCTCAGGCAAGGAATGAGATCACATCTCAATTTTTGAAAACCCCCTCTGTTTCGCACAGAGTTACCCTTGAAGAAATCCCTGACAAAGAAGATCCCACTAGTTATTTACAGAGTTTATGGAACTCTAAAAAATCCAGACTGTGTGGGCCATCCCTGAGTGGAAAAGATCTTAGTAGCCAAGGCGAACAGGCAGAAAGCTTAGTACCTGTAGAAGAACAACGGGCCACAAAACCTACAGCGAACAGTGACAGGGAGAAGACCCTGATGCCGAATGAGGGAAACCTCAAGTACTCATTGGCAGAGTATCCCTTGGACCAACAATACCTGAAACCTTATATGGCTCGATGGGTTCGTCAGGCCATGTGCCTGCAACATAAAGCTGCAAAGGCCCATCTATGACAATAGACACATCCCCGATACTCTAAGGAAGTAACGGATGAGCTCATAGAAGCGCTATCAGAATGTCCTCATGAAACTTGGAAGGAGATACACCTAAAACTATAATGGATGTCCAACTTAGCTCGACCACCCCAATACATTCAGGAAAGGAAGGGTTGTAACATCACCATCTCCATTCAGCTAAAGGTCTATGACACACTAGTCAAACATTCCCTCTGAGCTCTAGTTGACAGCGGGTGCACCGAAAGTGCGATCAACTGAAAGTGGATGAAAGACCACCAACTTACCACCTGAACTGCTGCACACTCCATCCCCATTTACAATGCGGATGGAACCCGAAACAAGGGGAGTGACATTACAGATTATGTTGAAGTATGCCTCACCATAGGGGATCACACCAAATGAATTGAACTGGTGGTAGTTGATTTAGGAACCATGCCATTATTTCTCAGGTATGATTGGCTACAATGCCACAATTCCCTAATTGACTGGAACACCGGAGCCATCACATTGGCCTGTTGTGATTGTAGAAAAATTCTCTTTTGACTACTGGACAAGGACTAGGAACAAAGATGGGGAACCAAAGTTGAAGAAGGAGACAAAATCCTCATAATCGACTTTGAACAAGCCTTCCATCTCTGGACAATGGGAACAAAATCCACAGGACTAGCCACCAAAGCCCATGCTGACAAAAAGAAGAAAACCTTTGAAGAAATCATGCCAGAGATCTACCAAAACTTCATAGACATATTCGCCAAAGAAAACTTTGACAAATTACCCTCACGAAAGCCTTGGGATCATGCCATTGAGCTAGTACCCAATGCCAATGCTAGCCTAGATTGTAAGGTGTACCCCTTGAATTCCCAAGAACAGGGCAAACTTGACAAATTTCTTGAAAACCTCTCCACCAGAAGGATTCAACATTCCAAATCTCCCATGGCTTCTCCCTTCTTCTTTGTAAAAAAAGGACAGAAAATTATGTCTGGTCCAGGACTATTGAAAACTCAACAAAATGACCATTAAAAATTGATACTCACTCCTGCTCATTTCGGAGCTAATGGACAAGCTGAAGGACAAAAAGTACTTCACCAAGCTAGATGTGAGGTGGGAATACAACAATGTTTGCATCAAACAGGGCGACGAATGGAAGGCTGCATTCTGTACTAACTGGGGGTTATATGAACCTCTGATCATATTCTTTGGGCTCACCAATTCTCCCACAACTTTTCAATGGATGATGAATGACCTTTTCAAAGAGCAAATAGCCAGAGGAGATGTCACCATCTACTTGGATGATATACTCATCGCCACCAAAACCAAAGAACAACATTGAAAGGTGGTATGGAAGGTTCTCCAAATTCTTTGAAAAAACAAGCTTTTCTTAAAAGCCAAAAAATGCGAATTTAAAGTAGAGGAAACCAAATACCTCAGAATAATCATCAGTGAAGGGTCAATCCTGAATGGATCCCATCAAAATAGCTGGAATCCTTGATTGGCCTGCACTCACAAAGAAACAGGAGCTACAATCATTCCTAGGGTTCTCCAATTTCTATCGATGATTCATTTGGCACTACAACCACCATGTCAAACCCCTAACTCATCTTACTGGCAAAGAGGCATGAAGCTGGGGGAAGGCCCAACAAGACGCCTTCAAAGCTATTAAACAACAATTCTGCGAAGACATAGTACTCACTATCCCAAATGATCACAGGAAATTTTGCATAGAAGCTGACTCTAGCAAAGGAGCCATTGGTGCTATACTGTCACAAGAACAAAAGGACGGAAAATGGAGACCTGTCGCATTCCTATCCAAGTCACTATCCACCACCGAGCATAACTATGAGATCTATAACAAGGAACTATTGGCCATAATGATCTCGTTGGAGGAATGGCACCACTATCTCATGGGTGTGGAGCAGAAATTTGAAATTTAAACTGATCATTCCAATCTTCAATATTTCCAAAAACTGCAGAAGTTAAACCTGATGACAAGCACGATGGGTCACCGAGTTTGCAGAATACAACTTCACTTTTCACCACAAGCCAGGAGTAGCCAATAAAAAGGCTGACTTGCTAAGTTGAAGAGCAGACCATGATCAGGGCAAACAGGACAACAATGATAAAGTCATCCTAAAACCCGAATTCTCCTGGGCCTTAATAATGCCCACAGAGGAGGAGGTCCATGAAAAAATCACCAGAAGTACAGGCAATCCTCAATTATGGGATAAAGGGATCTCTAATTCCCTTAACCATGAAAAAGGGGTCCAGCAGAAAAGAAAACTGCTGTACTATGACAGGAGGATCTATGTCCCTAGAGACTCCTCACTATGAGGAGAACTTATCTCACATGCCCATGATCACATCACCGCTGGGCACCCCAGAGTGGCCAAAACCCAAGAATTAGTACTCTGAGATTACTGGTGGCCCAGGATGCATCAGGACATAACCAACTATGTGAAAGGGTGCGAAGTCTGTCAAAGGACCAAGCTAGACAACCATAAATGCTCCGCCCCCCTTCACCCCAATGTGATACCCTCACAACCATGGAAACACATATCCATTGACCTAATCACTGGACTACCTGACTCTAAAGGCTACAACACGATTCTGGTGGTTGTTGATCGATTCTCCAAATACCACGTATTCATCCCATGCACAAAAGAAATTGCATCTATAGGATGGGCAAAAATCCTACGAGATGAAATCATTTGCTGATTTGGAGTTACCTCATCCAAAATAATCTCAGACCTAGTCCACAATTCATATCCAAATTCACAAGGGAATTATATGCCCTAATGAATATCCAAGGGAACCCTTCTACTGCTTACCACCCACAAATGGATGGTCAAACCAAATGAGTCAACCAGGAACTTGAAAAGTACCTGTGAAACTTCATCAATTTCAGGCAGAACAATTGGAGTGAATGGCTGCCCATAGCAGCCTACACTTTGAATAACCAAACACACAGTTTGACCAGGTATTCCCCCTATAAAGTCATCTTCAGATGAGATGGAAAAATCTGACCTGTCACATCCCAAGCTACTGAGACACCATCAGTAGCCAACTTTGTCAAAGAACTCCAGGAGACCCAACAATGAGCAGAGGCAGCCTTGACCAAAATGGTGGAAATGATGAAGCAAGCATACAATAGCCACCAGCAACCCAGTCGAGACTATCAACTGGGCAACAAAGTATGGCTGGACGCAACCAACCTACACTTACCATGACCAGCAGCTCTCTTCATGGATGCCAAGAGTGAAGATTCATACTCGGACAACTCCTACTTGTCTTCAGATGACAAATCTGACACTGACTCAGTCAGGACTGACTGAGTCTTAGTAGGGGGGTAATGTCACGAATTCACCCCTATTTTTCACTTTAGTCATTTGCTTCATGTCATTCTTCCTCAGTCATCATCCAATTCTCATCATCACTCTTATCCGGTTCATTCGTAACCTGCCTGCCGATACTCCTGCATCATACCATATGTCCATCACCATATCATTGTTCCGATCATCAATAGTCACTTCCACATCACTTGATCCCTAGGTTCAGCGGTGGACTGAGCTCAGGCATTTTTACTCAGATGGAGTCCCGACCACAAGAGACACCTGCTCTTCCAGAACCTCACTTGCCTTGTTGGCCAGCTCACCATTGGGTAGTCCTTTCGTTGGCATATTGCCATTGGCCATATCGCACTGATTCTCTATCATGGAACCCTAGTAGTATAGTTATTATTAATGTACCAAACTTGTATTTAAGCAAGCCTCAGCTGTGGGCTAAACCCCAGCTTTGGCTAAGGTTATACACTCCCAACTCTTATTCAAACTCCAAGTTCTGTGACTATCTAAGTCCCACCTACTTAACACAGTCTGCATTGCTACCTTTGTTTCGCTTCACCAAAGTGTGAGTGATGAACTAAGGCCTGACCTTGCTTATCCAAGTTGGTGCTTGATAGGGAGTAGTGGGAGATCATGGTATGAATTCGCCACCGCTGAAGTGCCACTACAATGTTCTTCTTATGGTCACCTCAGTGCATGGCAGGGCCAACAGCACACAGTTGAGCCACCATTGGGTGTTTTCCATTGGTATTGCGAACACTTGGCTAGACTTGAATGAGTACTGCCTGGCAGCATCTCTGAATCCCGCTCTGGCATCAATGGATGGTCCTCTGCTTCATCCATGACTTCGAATGTAGATCCAGCTTGGGCAATGCAGTGATCACAGCATGAACCTGTTGGACACTGGGTTCCAACATGTCAGTATCATCACAGCTAAGTCACTACAAAGACGTACACTTGCAGTTTGGAGGATTGTTGAAATGGTTATCAGAAAAGTCTCACTCACACTCCTTTGTAGTGATCCACTTGCACATATCAGGATTGACCTTTTTGGCCCAGATCATCCTGTCATCTCCCACAGCCTCATCCTGCTGCTCTTGATTGCCACCATCCTCTTCACCCAAACCAGAATTGTTGCAGCAGTCTTCTAAGCTCTCATCTTCTTCCCCATCTTCATCTTCATCCTCCATTTCCAAATCCTTGTTCCACCCAGTATCATCAGCAGGCTTCTTCTTGCGATGCTCCTTTCTTCACTCGAACATCTTCTGCTCTACTAATAGGATAGCCCATGCTTGAATGTCAGACCAACAGCCAGCCCAACCTATGTGCTGCTTGAAGATAGATAATGATGAAGGTATGCCAAACTGGATGGCCACCTCGATGTCAGGGATATCAGCACCCTGTGCAGGTGTCAGGCAGTGAGAAAGGAACAATTTATTTATGTACTATTCCTGCTGCCTCAGTGGCAATCAAAATCTGGATCTTTCCAGCATGAAATCTCCACATGACCTTTCTCTTATCCTTAGAGGAGCGATGGGCATAAATATAATCAATACATTTGCGCACACTTCACAGGAACAGGCCTTTAATATAGCGACAACTATGCTGTACCAATTTCACAGTATTCATAAAAATGATCGTCTTTGGATCCTCATTGACTGTCACATTCAGATTCAAATGTGGCTTCAAGGCATCAAAATCGGATGCATTTTTCATACGATGGACGGATGTGGAGATATTAGGCCTGTCATTGCCAAGATTAAGGAAGAAAGAGTTGTCAGCATAAATGTACAGCTCTGAGCATACATCTCTGAGTGTGCATGGAGTTAACATAGCAGATGCAGCCAGTACCTGGCATGCCAGAAAGTAGAGATTGTAGTTTATGAAGCTCAGCATAATGCTTTTGGAAGTTACCACCCCATTGGCTGATGCAATGAGCTTCATCAATGATGATGGCAGTGAAATCTTTGGTGTTATTAAGGAGAGCCTGTCTGAAGGTTGGATGCTTGAGAGACATCTCTGGACCTGCAAAAAGTGCATGATATTTGCCTGAAAGGACATCCTATTCCATGAATAATGGGGATCTACATCTTGAGTAGCCATAAAGTACTCACCTGTTGTAGCACTGACTGCTCCCACATATCTCCATTAATAGCAGCTGCTAAAAGCCCCATCTTGTTGAATCAGTGAGTCTGCAGCTCGTGTTCATAAGAATACAAAAAGGGTATACAAGAGCACATTATCTGGTTCTGCTGAAGCACCTTCAATGGAGAAATGACCAAAATCTTCTTGATGTTGTCAAGAAGGAGAGGCATCATGAAAGGCATGGTTTTTCCAGCCCCAGTACCAGCTATCAGAACAGTATCCAGCCCAAGAACAACAGATTCAGCAACATCTAGCTGCCAGTCATAGGCTGGCTTGCCAAACTTTGCTTAAAAGCTGTTCTGCATGTGAAGCCTTGTAGCAGCAGAATTGTACTGATGATCCTGGATTGCAGCATTTCGAGCAGTCTTGAGGACTGTATAGGACCAGCAATGGCTCTGTTCATACTTGCTAGATGCTGAGGCTGGAGCTGAGCCATGGCAAAAGGGGAGAACAAGAGAAGGGATGAAAGCAACAGCCAAACAGGCGATGAGCATTAAATGACATGGTACACATAGAGCATGTGTTATTACAAGTATAGCAATATTATTGGAAATACAGAGGAGGGGTGAAATTGTGACCCCAATGCCCCAGACGTTTCAGTGAGTTTCCTGCCCTCTGTTTTCAATCTCCACTCACATGGACCAGTCCGATGTCTCCATGTGCACTAAAGGGAACTCACTGAAATGGATGGGGATGAGACTAAGGCTTATACATCATCTCAACCCCAGGTACATGCCAGACCACAGGAGCAAAACCAGATATTGCTATGGCAGCAGGTAAGCTGAAGGTGAACATCACTGAGCTACACAATATCTGTGCTCACTGAAGCTATGCCACTCTCTGCTGCATGTATATCGATGGTCATATTGAGGGAATTGAGCTTGATCTGGACTTCAAACCGGAATTTTGCAAGACCTGTGTGAAGGCCAAAGTGAAACACAAACCGTTCCCCAAACAAGGCCAATATGAGTATATTGAGAATGCTGGTGACAAGGTTGTTGGAGACTTGATAGGCCTGATGTCTGTCATATCACTTGGAGGAGTACACTACACCTGCACATACCATGACCTACACACTCATGAGTCAAAATCTGAGTACCTATCAAAGAAATCAGATATCTTTGGGTCTTACAAGCACTATGAGATCTGGATCAAGGTCCAGTGAGGTGTTGAAGTCATAAAGATTCTGAGTACAGATCAAGGGGGAGAATTCCTAAGTGACGAGTTCACTCAGCACCTCAAGGCAAAGAGGACAGAGTGGCACCTTACCATGCATGATTCCCCACAGTCAAATGGAATTGCTGAACATTCCAATGAGTATCTGATGGACATAACAAGAGCATTCTTAATCAGTTTAGGATTACCAAAATATCTATGGGCTGAAGCTCACCAGAATGCTGAATGGGTCTACAACCACACCCCAATGAAAGCAATACTATCAGGGAAAACCCCATTTAAGATGGCAACTGGCAGGAAGCCCAACATCTCTGGCCTTTGTCTATGGAAATGTCATCGCTGGGTTTGAGTAAAGGCACCTGAAAAGCTTGAAGAACATGCTGTTGAGGCTCACTTTGTGAGAATCAATATGTAAGCCAAAGGCTGGAGGATTTACTGGCCTGGTCTTGATGAAGGGGAATGGTATGAGTTGATGCTTGCAGAAGTCAAGTAGTGTGAGAAGAAGAAGGTGTGAAAGGTGATGAAAGGAGAAGACATTCCCATGAATGCAAATATTGTGAACATGAGGTTCATTTACCAGGTCAAACAGAATGAAATTGGCCAGCCTAAAAAGGCAAAGTCGCATTTCAGTAGCTAAAGGATTCACTCAAGTTTAGGGTGTTGACTACTTTGATACCTATGCCCCAGTTGTCCATCTTCCTACCCTTCACATCCTGCTCTCCATGGCTGCCTCTCATGATGCAATAATTGACTAAGCTGATATCAAAAATGCATACCTGCACTGAGAAAATCTATATCAAGTTCCTGAACAGATACAAAGAATTCTTTGAAATCCTGGAACATCTCAAGGGCCAGAATGTCTATGCCAAGCTACTCAAGTGTCTATATGGCAAAGGGTGTTATAACTCTCTGATAGCTATACAGAGGCCAAAGTCGAAATGTGAATTTTTCTTGAAGGAAATAATATGCAAGCAGGAAGGGAAGGGATGTGAAGCAGTCTAGGTGCAGCACAAACTAGATATGTCGATCTAGTAGTGGGAATGAAACTGGATAACTCTAGTGATGAGTTTAATATCTATAAGCTCTAGTAACAAGCTAGACACTGGTAAAGCTCTAATAAATGAGCAAGGGTTGTCCAAGGAGGTAAACAACAGCAAGACAAGGCTCTGAAGGTCCTAATATCAAGCTGGTTAGTATCAACCTTGAGTAGAATCAAAGGAATGGTTGTTGTGAAGTTTTTCTGTTAAGAAAATTTGCTTGAACCAATGGTGAGTGTTCCTAGCTGTGAAAGTGGTAGGAATAGGTTGTTAGTGGCTAAAGGCTTCAATCCTAGCTGTGGATTGCTCTTTGAAGCACACAGGTATGCAAGCAAAGGTAAAAATATGAGGATGCTACACAAGGGTAATCACTGAAGGTTTCCTAGTGCAGTTTATAGAAAAGAGAAAAACATGTGAAGTTACAGATTATTATAGTTTTACCTCTATTTTCATTATCTTATCTTATCCTTATCTCCTGAAACCCCAGACCTACCTATCTTATCTCTCAGACCCATAATATTCTGCTGGCATACCTCCTACCTGTTTACCCAGTTGCTGTTCTCCCAGTTCACAGCTGCTGCATTCTGGATGACTGATGACCCACATGCACCATCACACTTCTCTTGATGGCATCATGCTTCTTAGTGGTTGGACAAGAGTCGACTGCTAGTCGAGGGTGGTCTATGGGATATGGCCCATTCAGATGGAGTCCCATGTCGATGCAGGTGATATGCGCTCTTTACTCTCATTCATCGGGGATACACTTCTTTTAATGTCCTTACTCCTCATTCTCTGCAAAAGCATACTTCTCACTGCATGTGCCTCAATAGATACTATTCTTAGTATGAGTCTAACATGTATTTAAGCTAGCCTATGCTGTGGCCTTAAACTCCAGCTTTGGCTAAGGTTATACACTCCTAACTCTTACAAGCTCCCTGCTTCTGCTATCTAAGTGATACTCTAACTTCTTGCAATCTGCCAAACATCTCTCTAACACTGAATCACTGAACGTGAGTGACAGGATAGAGACCAGCCTTGGTTCAGATTAGAGTTAGTGCTTAACACAGATGTAAGAGAAGTACACTAAGATTTATTTCTCTTTATAAGCTAAGAGAATTAATAACTTTAGATATGTAGGCTGTACTGAGGGGGGAATATCCTTATTGCAAAGTATAAACTTCTCCTAGGTGATCTGGGAGGAGGTTCTGTTTCTCTTTCTGTAAACTAATTAGTTAGCTACTTTTTATACTAGTTTGTGAATTAAAGGTTTGTAAGCTACATTGTTCCTTGCTGTGCTGATTTATAACACAAGTGAACTAATTACTGAGTAATAAGGCATGATTAACCCTTTCTTACCAATGCTGAGTCAAGCACAGTCAAATCTGCAGGCTACAAAGACTGTGCATTACTGTGCATTGCATTGCAAGTAAGCAAGCTTTGTAACAAGTTTACCAAGCAATCCAAGGGGTTTGCTTAGCAAATTAAACAGTCTTAGTAAGTTCTAAACCACTGCTGACTGTTGTGAATTAAATAATTCTCTAACTCATCATCAGGTAGGACTGAGTTATTTCGGTGGGATGGCTATGTGCTGAGATCAATGATGGGATTTGATCAATCAGGATCTGCAATCAAAATGCCTGAAGATCAATGGCTGTGCTCTGATGTAGAAAAGCCTGATAAATCTACAAATTCTGAGTGCACAGAGCCTAAAGGCTCATCACCGGAACCAGTTATGCCACATGAAAAAGCATTCTACCATGAACTCCTGGACTCCCTCATGTATGTTGTAGTTGGATCTCACCCTGAAATCAGTTATTCAGTCTCAGCACTCTCACAATTCATGAAGGAACTGTGCTCAACTCACCTAAAGGCCAGATTCCAAGTTTTTTGCTATCTCAAGGGCATGCATGACCAACAGCTTGTAATTGGTGGCCCTAACATCAATCTTAAGGGCCATCATGATGTGGCACATGCTAACCAGCTCAGGCAGAAATCCATATCTGAATTCGTGCTATTCATGGGTCAGGGCACTGTTATGTGGACATCAAGAAAACAGCCAATTGTTACTGTCTCTACAGGTGAATCAGAATACATTGGGCTGATGCCAGCATCAAAGAATATGATCTGGCTGCATAAGCTCCTTTCTGAGCTCTCCACCTTCATCGCAAACCCTTCCATCTATCCATCAAATTCCACTGTCCTCTATTCTAACTGTTATGGTTTCACTTTTATTTTTCATCTTATCTTATCTCATCTGATCTTATCTTTATCTTATCCTTATCTTATCAGAATCATCCTGGGTTAACTGAGTCATTGGCACCTGGTATCAGGATCTCCCAGACACTGCATGCACACATCACCAGTTGATCAAGCCATCACTACCTGCATACATCAGCTGATCAGCTATCAGCTTCTGCAGGGTTCTTATCATGATGCAGTTCTGTGATCCCTATACATTCTTTTGTTCTGGAGGCTGCTCAGCACTCCAGCTCTTTATGCTCTTTATGCTCAGTTGTGCTCATTCATTGGGACCTATAC